TATGCCTACAGATACATCTGTACATGCTCACCAATATACTCACATGTGCCTTCCCATACACATATATGCATACATATCTACCTATGTGACCACACACATATTTTTTGGTTGTTATTAACTATTGTTGCAAAATTGTATAAGTTATAGCATTTACCAAAATTGTTCCTTATTCTTGTATACTTCTTAGTGTCATAGTTTACACTGGTCATCATTTACCATGTTTGGTATTGCCTTTTCCATTACCAAAAATAACACATGTCTATTCTAGAAAGTGATTCCCTCTTCCTCCCCATCTCATCCCTGGTAACCATCAAAGAATGTTCTTTTCTGTGTGTTTACATATTCTTGTCTATTTATAAAAGTGAGACCTGCAATATTTGTCCTTTTGTAATAGATTTATTTCACTCAGCATAATGTCCTCCAGATTTATCCATGTTATAAGATGTTTTGAGGACTCCTCATTATTCTTTATAGCTGCGTAGTATTCCATTGTGTGTATGTACCACAATTTGTTTATCCATTCATCTGTTGATGGGCACATAGGTTGTTCCCATCTTTTTGCTATTGTGAATAATGCTGCAATGAATATAGGTGTGCATATGTCAATTCGTGTCACTGCTATTAGATCTCTAGGGTATATACCTAGGAGTGGGATTGCTGGATCATAAGGTATTTGTACTTCTAGCTTTTGGAGGAAGTGCCATACTGTTTTCCATGGTAGATGTACCTTTTGCAACACCACCAGCAGTGTATTGCTATGAGATCTTGTAATATCTTTATGATTTCTAAATGGACATATTGATGAGGCCATTAGATATGCAGGTTTGGGACTCAGAAGAGAGGTCTGGGCTGGAAATACAAACTTATGAGTCATTGGATTAAAGATGGTAGTTGAAAATATGTGTGTAGACGAGACCATCAAGTGGAAGCCTAAGTGAAATAAAATGGAGAGTTGTTATAAGTTTTGAAAGTGTTCTTTTATGCTTTAGAACCATCCTCAATGCACTGAGGAAAACCTCATAGTAAATATAGGAAAGATAACAATGCCTATAACATTTAAAGAACATGTTGTTGTTGTTATTGTTGTTAGGTGCCATTGAGTCAGTTCCTACTCATAGCTACCTCATGTACAACAGAACGAAACACTGCCTGGTCCTGCATCATCCTCACAATCGTTGTTATGCTTGAGCCCATTGTTGCAGCCACTGTGTCAATCTATCTCGTTGAGGGTCTTCCTCTTTTTTGCTGACCCTCTACTTTATGAAGCGTGATGTCCTTCTCCAGGGACTGGTCCCTCCTGATAATATGTCCAAAGTATGTGAGACAAAATGTCACCCTCTAGCTTCTAAGGAGTATTCTGGATGTACATCTTCCAAGACAGATTTGTTCATTCTTCTAGCAGTCCATGGTATATTCAATATTCTTCACCAACATCATAATTCAAAGGCATCAATTCTTCTTCAGTCTTCCTTAGTCATTGTCCAGCTTTCACATGCATATGAGGCAAATGAAAACACCGTGACTTGGGTCAAGCACACCTTTGTCCTTAAAGTAACATCTTTGCTTTTCAACACTTTAAAGAGGTCTTTTGCAACAGATTTGCTCAATGCAATGTATCATTTGATTTCTTGACTGCTGCTTCCATGGGTGTTGATTGTGGATCCAAGTAAAATGGAATCCTTAACGACTTCAATTTTTTCTCTGTTTATCATGATGTTGCTTATTGGTCCAGTTGTGAGAATTTTTATTTACTTTATGTTGAGGCGTAATCCATACTGACGTCTGTGGTCTTTGATCTTCATCAGTAAGTGCTTCAAGTCCTCTTCACTTTCAACAAGCAAGGTTGTGTCATCTGCATATTGCAGGTTGTTAATTAGTTTTCCTCCAGTTCTGATATCACCTTCTTCTTTATATAGGCCAGCTTCTTGGCTTATTTTCTCAGCATACAGATTGAATAAGTATGGTGAAAGGATACGACTCTGACACACACCTTTCGTAATTTTAAACTATGCAATATTCCCTTGTTCTGTTCAAATGACTGCTTCTTGGTTCCTCATGAGCACAGTTAAGCGTTCTGGAATTCCCATTCTTCTCAGTGTTATCCATAATTTGTTATAATCCACAGTCGAACGCCACAGAATAAAACACAGGTAAACATCCTTCTGGTAGTCTCTTTTCAGCCAGGATCCATCTGACATCAGCAATGATATCCCTTGTTCTGTGACCTCTTCTGAATCTGGCTTTGATCTCTGGTGGTTCCCTGTTGATTTATTGCTGCAACCACTTTTGAATGATTTTCAGCAAAATTTTACTTGTGTGTGATATTAATGGTACTGTTCAATAATTCCCGCATTCTGTTGAATCACCTTTCTTTGGAATAGGTACAAATATGGATCTCTTCCAGTCAGTTGGCCAAATAGCTGTCTTCCAAATTTCTTGGCATAGATGAGTGAGTGTTTCCAGGGTTGCATCTGTTTGTTGAAACGTCTCAACTAGTATTCTGTCTATTCTTGGGGCGTTGTTTTTTGCCAATGCCTTCAGTGCAGCTTAGACCTCTTCTTTCAGTACCATCAGTTCTTGATCATATGCTACCTCCTGAAATGTTTGAACATCAACTAATTCGTTTTGGTACCGTGACTCTGTGTATTCTTTCCATCTTTTTTTGATGCTTTCTACGTTGCTTAATGTTTTTCCTGTAGAAACCTTCAATATTGCAACTTGAGGCTTGAATTTTTCTGTAGTTCTTTCAGCTTGAGAAAAGCCGAGTGTGTTCTTCCCTTTTGGTTTTCTATCTCCAGGTCCTTGCACATTTCATTATAATACTTTACTTTGTCTTCTTGAGCTGCCCTTTGAAATCTTATGTTCAGCTCTTTGACTTTATCATTTCTTCCTTTCACTTAAGCTACTCAACGTTCAAGGGCAAGTTTCAGAGTCTCTTCTGACCTCCATTTTGGTCTTTTCTTTCTTTCCTATCTTTTTAGTGACCTCTTGCTCTCTTCATGTATAATGTTCTTGATGTCATTCCACAACTAGTCTGGTCTTCAGTCGTTAGTGCTCAATGGTCTCTAAATTTAGGTGGGATATACTCAAAGTCATCCTTTGGCTCTAATGGACTTGTTCTAATTTTCTTTAACTTCAACTTGAACTGGCGTATGAGCAATTGATGGTCTGTTCCACTGTTGACTCCTGGCCTTGTTCTGACTGATGATATTGAGGTTTTCTATCATCTCTTTCCACAGATGTAGTTGATTTGATTCCTTAAATAATATAGGAAGGTAGATAATATTGTAGTCCAAACACACAAGCTGACTGGCTAGGAGGGAAACATATAATTATAAAGTCATGAGATAATGTGGACCTAGACTACTGTGTTGGCAACAGAAATTAGAAACTTTGCACTTTTTTGTATATAATACTTAAAAAAGCTTTGAATTACTGAATATTGTTTGAATACTTTCTCTTATCTTTCTGTTTTAAGTGTAGAAGTTTAACTGTATTAGTTTTTTTAATTATGAAAGAATGCATGCTTGATCTAACAGTCAAACAATAGAGATAAATAAAAAAGAATGCGATATATTATACCTTCAAACCTACTCACTGAGCTAATTAACATCAAAAATTTGGAGTACGTTCTTCCATATCTTTCTCCACTGTCATATAATGTATATGAATAAACATAGACTTAAAATTTTTAATGAAATAAGATCATCATACAAAAATAAGCTGCAATTTGTTTTTTAGCTTAATACTATATTACGAACTGCCCTTCCAAATCAAAACAAACATATATTCTTGTGTTTTTAAAAACATCATAAGATTCCAAAGTATAAAAATGCCATATTTTATTTAACCTTTTCCTTCTGGTGGATATTCGGATTGTGTCTAGTGTTTGTACCTTGTAATATCCTGTAAGTGAGATTGGTGAGTCAAATAAAAAATGTATTTTTTTCATTTTAGTAGAAATTGACAGATTACTTTCCAAAAAGTTTGTAGCAATTTTCACTCTGCCAGCAAAGTATCAGAATGTTCACCAGTGTTCTTTGCCAACACTAGAGGTTATACTTCTTTTTTTTTCATTTACTGCTCAGTTAAGAGTAGAAAATGGTATCTACTTCTTTTCCTACTACCAGTGAGTTTATGTGTTTATTAGCTAGTATTTTAGTTTTCAATATTCATCCTTTAATATTTAAATTTTGTATCCCTTTATTGCGTTATTCACTCTGCGATATCATAAATAACATTTAGTGTCATATTCTCAGATTTAAAAACGGAAAATGTCAAGTAATAGAATTTCTTACCTCTGCAACACATTTCTTTCTGAAACAAAAAGCCTTCGAAGAATTCCAAATGGAATGAACAACCGTTCATACACAATTGACCCCACTTTTCCCATCCAAACTCGACTCACAGTATTATCCAATCCAAACCCTCTAGATATGTCAGGTCAGCTTCTTACTGCCACCTCACTCCCTTCCCTCCTACCCCCACTACATCACATGCACACACACACACGCACACACACACACAGCGTACCCATTCCTGTGTCTGTGTCTTTACGCATAGTACCCTATCCCTTCTTTTCCTTTCTAAACTCTACTCATTCTCCAAATTCCTAGAAAGGGGGATGTATAGTGAATAGAAGTTTTTAATTTAAAAAATATAAAAATAAAAAACCTGTTGTCATCCAAATAATGATTTCACGTCACTGGATATATCTGACCATCAGAAAAATGACAAAGTTATTTTACTATTTTCTTACAATTTATATAAAAATTCCTGTTGCTCTCAGAAAAGTTTATTTACATTACCTTTTGTTTCAATTTTAATTGGCTTAATTAAGTACTGGTTAATACGTCTTTTTTCCTGGTTTTAACATGAATCAACAATGGTTGTTTCTTTGGAGGTGGTAGTGGTGGGGTTTTTTTTGTTTGTTTGTTTTTGTTTTTTTAAGGAATATATTCTTTTATCTTATAGTCATGCTGTTTCCTGTCTTCATGTAGGCAAACTTTTTGGGTTGAAGTTCCCTGGGCTGAGAGTCCTCACCTACAGAAAGCAGTCCTTACCACAGGAAGACCCTGATGTGGTAGTAATCGATTCATCTAAACACAGTGATGATTCCATAGCCATGAAGCACTTTAAGTCTCCTACGAAAGAAAGCTGCAGCCCCTCCGAAGCAGATGACACAAAAGCTTTGATACAGCCCAGCAAATGTTCTCCCTTGGTGAACATATCTGGACCTCTTGACCATTCCTCTCCCAAAAGGCAATGGGACCGACTTTACCCTGACATGCTGCAGTCCAGTTCCCAGCTGACCCGTTCCAGATCCAGGGAAAGCATTTGTAGTATACGGAGGGCGTCTTCAGTGCATGATATAGAAGGATTCAGTGTCTACCCCAAGGGCATATTTAGAGACCGGCATGCCAGTGAAGGTACGTTTGACTTTTTTTATACGGCAATAATGGATAATGAAAGGTTATCTTCATATTGTTGTTTATTTCAACATTAATCCTTATGCCTTGAGAGAAGAAATGTGATTAAAGGCTATTAAAAAGGTGAGTCCTACGTTCAGGATTGTTATTGATTTCCTCTTTGAGCTCTAGTGAGTAACTTGGTTCCTTCTGGCTTCTGTACCTGGGTTTCTGTAACAGTATGATAACCATTATCTGCCTACCTCATGGGGTGTTAATTAATTAATGCTTATTATGAGATGCTTGTAGGTGATGAACACTTTGATCTCAAGCATAATTAATTTTGCTTAATTTAGCAATCATGCCCTGCGCAGGAAATGTGGTGTGCCATCACACAACTATTTTATTGACCAGCTCCTTCCAAAGGATTGGGTGTATTAAATGTGATATACCGAATGATCAGAAACTATAAACTGACGCAGTTCAGGGCTAAATAGGGGGAAGGGGAAAGATTTGGGAAAAATAACCCTGAATGTCCTGATCTCAACCAAAACCAACTTGAAAATCAAAGTCAAAATTCATTTATTTCCTCCTGCCCTTTTTATGCCCACATTCTTAAATTAGCCAGTAGTGAAAGTGGTTGATGCTGTTATATACCATCGAGTCATTTTTGACTCATAGTGACCCCATGTGACAGAGTAGAACTGCCCGATAGGGTTTTCTGGGCTGTAATTTTTGTGGAAGCATATCACCAGGTCTTTTCTTCCACAGAGCTGCTGGGTGGGTTCGAATTGCCAACTTTTAGGTTAGCAGCCAGCAATTAACAATTGCGTCGTTAGGTCTCCTTTTACTGAAATAAGATGCTTAAAAAGCATTGACAAAAATGATTCCTCATTGGCAGGATAATGGATAAAATTTGAATATTTACAATGTGTGAGTCAATGTTAATGCTTTACACACATTAACTCTCATTTAATTCTCATAACAACTCTGAGTTAGGAACTATTTTAAAGCCTATTTTCTAGATGAAGAAACTGAGGCTTACTAAAAAAAAAAAGAAAACCAGTTGCCGTCAAGTCAGTTCCAACTCATAGTGACCCTATATGACAGAGTAGAACTGCCCCATAGGGTTTCCAAGGAGTGGCTGGTGGATTCAAACTGCTCACCTTTTGGTTAGCAGCCAAGCTCTTAACCACTATGCCATCAGGGCTCCATGCTAAGTAAATAACTGGCCCAAGGTTACAGAGCTAGTCACTGTCAGAGTCTGGATGCAAACCCAGAACTGCCTATTTCCAGAGTCCACAATCAATCCATGCAGTAAATCCTGTGTGTTTCCTCACTCACTCCTGCTACTTGAAACACATCCCTCCCCTACCATATACTCTATTCTAAACCTGCACAAAGAGAATTGCCTTTTCCCAAAAATGTATCATGCATTTTCTTGCTTCATTACTCTGTTTATTACTTTGTTCTGCCTGAAATACTCTTTTCCACTTCATCCCTCTTGACTCTAGTATTCATAGCTTAAGACCCAGTTCAAATGCCACCCTCCCACCTTAGGGGCTCATTTCCCCCTTTCAAGACCAGAAGAATTAAATGATTTTGCACGTGAGTGTGCAAAGCAGTGTTTACGTATACTGTAGCATTTATTACATTGTATTTTTATTATTTATTACATGTTTGCCGTCACTGTTAGGTATGCAACAACTATGTTACTGTAAGCTTCTCCAGCACAGGAGCTGTGGCTTAGGTAGCTCTGCATCCTTAGTATCCAGCCCCATTGCCTACCTTATGGCAGGTGCTCAATAGATGTTTGTGTGACATTGAAAGGACCATGCTGGTGAATTATGTTCCTAAACCACAGACACTGGAAACTAATGAGTCATGTACACCATAGTACACTGAAATTCAAATGGGAATTTTAGGATTGAATCATGGGGTGGGGGATCTTTATTTAAAGAGCACAGTGAGGTGAAGAAGGCAGAAACAGTAAAAGAAAACGAGTTGGCAGGGAAAAAAAATCAAAGGGAGATAAATCAATATTACGAAGCAGAAGGAACAGCTTTCTGTAAGATAGGCTTGAAAAAGAATATATGGTACAAGAGCAATTAGCTCATCCATTTTAATCTGTCATCCAAAGAGGGTCAAAAGGAAAGGAAAATCAAGGACAGATCCAAAATTGAATAACCATTTAAGGCTCTATGCCACCTAGTAATGGAATGGGCAATATCTCCTAACAGAACAAGATCTCTGTAATTTGACTTTCGGGCAATAGTTCCTACAACCGAACAGCAACAACAAATTCGATATGGTCATTCAAGTAACCGACATAAGCTTCAGTTAGTCCAGTTGGTGTCATCATCTTTAGCAGTCACGTGGACTCTTCAGAGCTTGGCTTCATTGCCTAGAACCTGAATTACAGTATAGCTATATTCGGAAAAAAAAGAATCTGAATCTTAAACTGGTACATAATCAGTGCTTGGCACAGACATAATTCTGTGTTTTGACCGTGGTGCTGAGTAGTTACGACTTCAGGATTTAACTTTGCTGTTTTCATTATGTGGTCTCTACCTAGTACACAGTTACTGATACAATTAAGTACCATATATGAGAAAGGATGATTTAATATTTTTGGATTTCTCAGCACAAGTACTTCACATAGATACTTGGTGCTAAGATCATCCTTAATTTTCCTCCCCCACCCAAGCTATGTTATTTTCAGAAAATATATCACTGTCTTACTGTGCTACAGATGACGCAGTCAACATGTGGCTAAGTCTGATAAATTTAGAGGACATTCTGTACTACTTTGGAGCAGTTTTAGCTACAAAATCACTGATTATTGTAGAAATAGCTATACTTCCTAAGGCTACATACTTTGATATGTTTTAGAAAGTTATTCATTAGTAAACTGAGATGGAAAACTTTTAAAATAGAGTTTAATTTATGATATAAAATTTAATTTTATGAATCCATGTAATTTGTTAACAGGTCAAGTCCCAAATACACCAAATTTTGATTTCAGATTGCTGTCTCCTCACTCAAGAGGAGGACATTTCCTTCTGTACATAGGCTGCCTTTACAAAACTTTAAATATTTTATAAATATATCAATGTGGAATATTTTATATTATTCTCTCATTTAATCCACATTATCAAGTACCTTAGAACTGTACTTCTCAAACCATTTATGGTGAAACCTGTCATGGACCAATATTTTTAATTACAATAAAAACGTATCAATACATTCTTTAATTACAATACAACGCAATTAATACATTTTTTAATTACAATACAATGCAATTAATACATTTTTAATTACAATAAAAATGTATTACTAGAAAAATAAATTTAAAAAATAGACATACAAAATATAAACCTCATTTTTTTGTAATTAGATTCAATGACATGAAATAACTGCCAAATTTCTGTAAGGATTTTAAATGCTTGTCATGGATGAATAACGAACAGATCTCAGCTAGCACCAGTACACAGACCACATACACTGCCTTACAATGTCAAAGCAGCATTAACTATATAGTGTAGCTTTTGGTTATGTTTCTTGGAATTTATACATTTTTATATATAATGCCCAGGTTTGGTGAGTAGAATTACAATTTTTAAATGCTTGCAAGCAGTTGTTCTTTTACTAGTGATTTTTTGATCCACCTTCTGATGGAAGTATTAATTCTGTGTAATCCAAGATCTCTCACTGTGATTCTTCTATCCTCACTTGCTTTTTGTGATCCCTCAAAGAGGGAACAAGTTGTCACGTAAGGCAAAATCTTATTTGTGTATCTCTGTCCGAGGGAATGTCTACTCCAGCAATTCAATAGACCACACGATTGGAATTACCTTCATTGTAAGCTTTGAAATAATTATGATACAGCCTAAGATTTTAAATATGCACATTGTTAGCATAGATGCCACCAAAATGTTGAACAGATTTTTCAAATCTTGGATATATTTGAATGGTTTTTACATGGCTTCATTTATTTTAAGCTTATTTGTTTCAAAACTAGCAATGCATATTTTGTTAGCAGCAAATATGCATCAAAGAGTCAGATTGCTAATCTCAAAATAAATCTGAGAACACTCAAGTCTGAGATTTGAAAACTACCCATTTAATGTAAATGAATTCCTAAATATGTTAGGTACTACATTGAGTGTATTAATAACATAAATAAGAAAAGTCCATGCCCCTTTTAAACAGTCAAACCTGTCACTGATTTCTTGGGATTATTTTTGCCTAGAAATGACTCTTGCAGTTATATTCGTTAGTTTCAAAATATGTACTGAAATGTGTTTATGGGGAGGTTAATAAAATGGTGATTCATAATGCAAATTGGTTTGCTAAGGTAACCGATTGTTTTAGAAACGTTTTCCCTTATTAGTGTAATAGCTTGCATTATATGAAAAAATTACTTAACATGCAAAATGTCGTGTAGTCTTCAACATAAATGATTGTTGAGGATATGCTAAAACTGGCTTCTGACAAGGTTGAAAGGTTTGATGACAACTGAAGACAGCTGGGGATATCTTTCTCCAAACTGCCATAATTATAAAGTCTGTATCTTGGAATCCATTTAAATTAAGTGAGATACATGTTTCCCATACTTAAGCACGAATATTTATTATCACAGATATTATTTTTAGTATACGCGTTTTACTTTCCTGAATAATAAAATATGTTAATTTCAATCAAAGATTAAATTTTCTATTTTTACATCCCGTTTTCTCTGATTGTTTTTAAGAGGTAATTTAGTGTATATACCATAATTTTAGTCTTCTTTTTGTATTTCTCTCCTTTTTATCCTTATATGCTCAAAACAGACAATGGTCGCAATGTCAAAGGTAACGTACGAACACGAATTTCATCATCTGATGCTCAAAGTGCCCCTTTACTCGGCATGTTAACTTGCCTGCTGTATGCGCTGTTCAGTGCAACATCTTCATGCTGCCCTTAGCTAGTCCCAGGTGCCTGGTGGAGACATCATGGCTTGATTTTGTTGTAGACATTGTTACTTTCTCAGCTGGGTCACCAAAATGATTATGAATTCCTTTCTCCTGTAAGCCTAGGTTGACAATGCACACTTCCTAAATATTTAAACCATTTGAAAGAAACAAATATCAAGCTAAATATATTCCAATATGAAAGAGGCGCATAAGCCTATTTCAGTGAAAAAAAAATTGAATACAAGTTTAAAGAAAATAAGCAAAATGCTACATGACAGCCTCTCTTCACTTATTCCTCTTTTGTTTCCTTAAAACTAGTTTCACGTTCCTGGATGGCAGGGGGTATGGTTTTAAGCTTACTGTAGTAGTAAATTGTACTTGCATGAGAGTCATTTTCTATTTTTTTTATATTACATTCTAATCATTTTAATTGTGTCCTATATTAGTCTGAAATCACTGGCATGACCTGCAGTTACCATACGGTAATGTGTAACTGGGTAGTACCTCTGGATAAATTTGGACCTGGCTAAAAATTTGAAATTCACTTCTGTTTTCTACTGTATCCCAGCAAATGCAAAGAATCACAAATGTAATAATCACATGATTCTCATCAAATTGAACATTGGGCTTAGGGTTTTAGTATAAGGCCATGCATGCTGCTGTGGGCATGCATATGGTGATAATGACTCATTTTGTGCATGCGTGTTGCATGAACATGTCTCCACCAGTAACCATCGTTACTTAGAATTCATTCTTTGGCCTCTTCCATGTGTCACTGGTCCTCTGATCACTGTGCAGTGTTGTATATTGATTTCTCAATTGTTTCCCTAATTAATTCAGAGCAGGTGAAGGTTATGAATTAATAGCACCCGAGACTGAAGATGTTTTCTGGTCAGCAGCCCAGGGTAATTTGAAAATAAGGGAAATTGTAGCAGTTTCCTTCTCCCTTTCACTTTATTGTTTAGAACTTTAAAAAGGGTCTATGCAGATTTTCTTTAATATGGGGATGAGAATTCATCTACAAGATTATTCTCTCCTTGTCCACTTGTTCACTGTGATTTCTGCAAGAAAGCAAATTAGTGTCAGCTGTTGGTGCTGGTTTTGAGTTACTATAATTCACAGTGTCACCTCAAGAAACAGAAAACACACAGCTCTTGCCAACTTGCCTCCATGGGAAATATGACTGGATTTACCATTTAACTATTCACAATAAATTAGTAGACGTAAGTTTCCAATGATTTCTCAAATTCAGTGAAAAATGAATCTATTTTTTTTCAGTAAATAGAAAACTGGGCTTGCTTATCTTCCAAACTATCAGTTCACCTAGTCGTCATGCGAACTACGGTAATTTTTTTTGTCTCATAAACTAATCCATTTATGCCTCAATCTTTTTTCCTCAACCGCCTATTTTTTGATGACCCAACCAAACCTACTGCTGTCAAGTTGATTCCAGCTCATACAACCACGTAGGACAGAGTAGAACTGCCCCACAGGGTTTCCAATGCTGTAAATCCTTATGGAAGCTAACTGCCACATCTTTCTCCTGTGGAGCAGCTGGTGGGTTCGAACCACCAACCTTTTGGTTGGCAGCCGAGCGCTTTAAACACAGTGCCACCAGGACTCTTTTTTTAATGACAGTAGTCTTTAAATGAAAATATTATTTTCTTCTTATATATTACGAATCCCATATCAATTTTACAATCACAATTTAAAGAATATAATAGAATAACCAAAGTAAGAATTTAGGTTAGGAATCCCTAGACTATTGCAGAAATTTTTCAAATATTAATATGTATGAAGTTAAGCTCCAAAATTGGATAAAACACATGCAAACTTAATAAAAATTTAAATGCAATTATGCCCTCTGAGGTCTTCATTTTTTGTTCACGCTCTTGTTTTGAAAATTATTACATAGTGTTTAAGTGTTTGGACCTTTAAGATTGCTATAAAGCAACTAAGATACTAACTGGATACAGGACAATACATTAAGTGATTTTTTATTTTTTTGGGTTTATTTCTAAACAATATTTGAACATAAGATTTTAAATAAATGATAAATTTCTACATTGTTTCATATGTAAAATGCATAATTTTGGTTAATTATTTCAATACCTAATTCAACCAAAATTTCTTTCTTTACCAAAATAAAATAAATAATTTAGGAAGGTATTTGGAAGGTCTTCAAGATCATCTGGTTTATTCCCTTCAGGCGAGGTGTCGTCTGAATCACCTTGCACAGGTGGTATGGGTATCTTTACAAGTGGCCATTCTTTAACTTTCTTGGAAGTTCTATTTTTCATGCTTGTTAGACAAAGAGCTAATCTAAATCTTTCTTGCTGAAATGTAATTTTCTTCCCCTTCATCTTTCCTCTGTGGACATAGGTACTAGCTGGCTGTTACTAATCTTGATGTAATATCACAATATAAAGACAACAAATTGGTACTCAATGTTTCTTCTAGAATTAATTTCCATTTAACCTTCTTTCTTAGGATCACTTTTGTTTCCCTTTCGAAAATTCCCTTGCACTCTGACTCCTTAAAATAACACATTAAAGTTCTTTTTAAAAAGTGTAACCCATTATCAAAGAGTAAAAAAAAAGTTCAAATAAATCGCATATGCTGTTTATGTATATATGTATGTATTACAGTATTTTTTGTATTACAGTTTCTAACAATTCCTCTAATATGTGAGAGGAGTATCTAAGACAACCTCAATCACTCTTGAACTGATTTGCACCTCAAACTTTGTGTTTTTTCTGCCTATTGTACTTCCCAAGTCATCGATTAAAATTTACCCCAGTTACCCCACTTAGTAAATATTATTAATACAATTTTACCCCTCTATTGCTTCCATTTCCTTATTATCCCAAGTAACCCTGCAGTTCTCTGAAAATGGTATGTTCAGTTTCCAACTTGTCTAGAATCCGTCATGTAAGACAGAAACAGAATCCCTCTAAAGATTTATTGCATCTTTCACCTCCTCTCTCGCCATGAAACCTATCACTGACTCAGAAAGGAAATCAAGTGATCTAATACAAATTGTTTCTCACAAGTGACGCTGGCCATATCTTGTGATTTTATAACCATTTGTAAATTGATTTTCAGTGGTAACAATTTTCTTCTGTAAATTTTATGTCATGCACTTTAGAAGACAATATGGATATTGAATACAAATGATTTATATTAAACTGGTTGCCTTATGCTTATTGACAGTTTTCTTTTACAAAGTTTAATTACTAAGCACTGCGTTTGCCTTGTCTTTAATGTTAAGGCACTTTAGCAATTTAAACTTTAGTCAGATAAACTCAGTGCCCTAAGAAATAGGTTATTCTCCTTTGTATAAAGACCTCATGATCTGAAAACAACCTCATCCTATTTGGTTTCCTTTTCTCCTGTCCCATTTGGCATATTCCCTCAAGAGCAATGATCTTTTCATTAAAAAAAAAAAAAAGGCATTATTTAAAAAATATATCTGTGTTTCCAGCACCATCTGAAAGAGAAGATATTCTCCTTTAGCATATTGTATTTCATGATAAATTTAAATAGCCTCATCATATAAATTTTAATTTTCTATAGTCTAAAATTCTTCCCATTTGTTGCTTTAGGCTCTAGATTGATCTCTAAATGTAGGGAATTTTTTTGTAGCTGGAACCGAGCCTAATTTATATTTAATTAGACACTTGTAATATGTTAAAGCTTTACCGAGATGTTGGTTTAGTCTACTTGGTCACCTGGTTTCCCTCTTCTCCGAGTATGTTGGAAAATTTAGTCTAGTCATCTGTCTTGCAAATGTTTCTCTAAAGAACATTAAGTCCTCCTATTACAGTTTTGAGGTTTGCATCCCTTTCTGTTGAATCTATTACTTCCCTTGCCCACTCATTGTCTTTAAATTCATTTACCTTGTTTTTCAGGTTATTCTCCTTTCTTTGATTAGAACCTTAAATTCCATCTGTTCATGATCACTGTCAGTGAGGCTACCTTTCACCTTTAAATCCTCAACCAAGGTCTCTCTGAATGTAGACATAGGAGGTAGGAAACCCTGTATTCTGATTTCTAGCCCTTCATTCTTATTCCCTTTTGGCCTCATGTTCTGTCTGCTTTAGAGATATAATCGATGACACCTAGCAACAACAGCGGGTGAAATAAGGATATTGCTAATACTTAACTAAAGTGTGGAAATTTTTTTCATTAGGTTTTAGAGAAGCCTAAACTAACACTGATCATCTTGCAGATTCTAAAAGACTTCTGCATATAAACATCTGCTTCAAAATTAGTAAAAAGAAGCTTACTGATCTTTGTTATACACAATGAAATAAATTGTAAATGCCTTATCTAAGTAGCATGTCTGAATTATTTTAAGTAATATTTTAAGTTTTTCTGAATTTACTAAATGTATGGATTTAAAATATAATCCAGATTAGATCTCTAACACTGAGAGTTTAAAAAAAATAGAGTAACAGCTTGGAAGGTTTTTCCACCAGTGAATAAGAAACTAAACTTGGGACTATGATGCAACTGCAATATTCTGAGATGAGGTATGTTGACCAGTGGTTTCTCAGCCCTGTCAGACCCAGTGCCCTCTTGTCTCAACAAATATTTTCCTATACTGATTTTACTTCCTGAAAGGAAATTCAGAGATAATGTAACCTACCAGTGTATACTATTTCTTAAAGAGCAACATGATCCCCTGACTGTAATATAAATGAGAAATAAAAAGAAATACATTTGTATTAGTAAGTCAATGTTGAAATATAGCTACCCTAGAAGACATAATGCAACAATCAAATGAAAAAGTGGGGCTTTAAGAATATTAAGGACATGAGAAAACACTCTGTGCAAGTACTGGATAAAACAATGAAGCAGGAGCATGGGTGGGTAACAATTAAAACTACCACTGGAATAAATAAAAATAAATGAGACTTATTTATACATGATTTTTAAAAATGGGAAATAGCAAAAACTGGATTATAAATAATATAATACCAAGACTGATTATGAAGAAAATGAAGAAGTATGGTGTTCTCACAAATGAGCTTGCCCTTGCTTTTAAGTGCAGTGTCAAGACGAGTCTCTGTGATATTATGCAATAGCAATGAATTGCACAGAAGAAAGAAATTCCACTAAATTCCAGGGCACGCATTCATCCTCTACTACTTCAAAAGGATCTTGCAGACCCTATACTTTGATAAGTAATGGGGAACAGAAGATGGATTGAAAAAAAGAAATGTCAATCAAGACATTATAGAGAAGTTGTGGCCGACCTCTAGGGAGTTAGGAGGGTGAGGCTGAAAAATAACAGGCAACTCCAAGACAAATAATTCCAAGTCTTTAGTGTCTACCACATATACTTTTTTTCATTTTATCACACATTATTTTGCAAATATAGGAGGACAATAATATATTCCTGAAAGAAATTTTTTTAATGATTTTAACTTGACTCTGCAATTCTCTGCAAATTTAATAATATTTGATTCCAAGACTGCTAAGATGTAATCTCCTCTCCTACATATTTGTACATGACAGCTCCAAATACAGCCTGAAACCTTCAGTCTAAAATTTTGTATTGGTGGCTCCAGTGCCACAAGAAGTATAGCACTAAGTGGCATGGTTTTCCAAAATGGTGAACAACTTTTGATAAAGTTCTAAACAAAACAATGTTTAATCTCCTCTCTATCTATATAGTAGTTGCAGCCCTGGAAAATTCAGCATATATTAAAGTCATGTAAAAAGCCGATTGTGCTGTTTACATGTGAGACAGGTTCAGGTCTCAGATCACGATAAGCAGTCTTTTCTCCTACATCAGCATCCATTGGGACACATCCAACAATTTTTCAGGGGAGGGAATAGCAACCTCCCACCACTGACAACCAAAAATGCCCCCACAAATGCTGTTTAGGGTGAAATACTAGCATAGTTGAGAACACACACTTACAATATAGCCAATTCAGTGATTTACTGGAACTAGTCCCAAGGACAATCAAAACAGATTAGCAGTGTGTTTTTGCTTACTACACATCATAGATGATTTGTGTTTTTACCCTATCTTTTTTAACAACTCTGTAGACGATTTGCTATAGAAATCCAACACAGAGACAGATGATATAGGAAGAGAATTGAAAGACTAAGGTTTTAAATACAATTCAGCTACATACCTGAGCTCAACCATATGTAATCTCAACCATCTATAACCACATAATATCTCTGTGTAGAGAAAAATTACCTAAGGGTCAGGAAAAGATGATACCTAAGAAGTCCGAACTCCTGGTTTATTTTACAGTTTTGAAATATTAAGATGTAGTCCTGAAATGTACCCATAGAATGCTATACATACCTAGAATAGCTTACAGTAATAAATTAGTGCTGCCTGGTGGGGACATCTACAAAGACCTGGAGAATGAGGATTCTGTCAGAGGCCTATCTGAAGGCTAGATTAATTTGGTGCCACTTTTGGGTATTATTTCTGTCTTTGTAGAAATAGAAAAGAGAGTGAAAACCTATATGCAAATAAGAACATACCAGGTGACAAACGTCAGAAGAGCTCAATGACATGTATCACCTTGATGGACTTCATTATCCTCATGGATAAAAGTCAGACAATGAACAAAACTGCAACTTAAATAGATATAAATTATCTTGAAAAATCACTTGAAACTTTTATAAACAAAATAGCGTGATTTTTGCCCCCACAATAAAAATATAAACCAAGTGGTGGGTATATTTTTTCTTAGAATTATATCTGAGCTGAGTTGATTATTACTGCACAAAATACAGAGTCTGTAAGTGTAATTATCAATAATTTGCTTGGTGCTTAAAGTGCATTTTGATCCCTAAAATGTGTTTCATTCTAAAGGGGGAAAATAGCATAAAACAAAATATGCTGACTAGGCAATTCATTCATGAAGTTTGTATGTTTTAACCACTCCCTGGGACACAAAGATAAAGGGTATAACATCACAGGAAATGCCTATAGTTTCTGTAAAATTCTTCCTGATGCTAACTTTAAGAACTAAATAGTGGTCTGTGTAGTATTGCCCATTGCACAAGAAACTCATTGGGGACTTTCTTGATTCTCCATAAGCAACAGACAACAGGTTCTGTCTCAAAAGAAGATATAGCTTGTCAGTTTACTCATCCTCAACAAGGGGACCAGGAGTCCCGGAACCTCATCAAATTATTCTCACAAGAAGGGTATGAGAAGTGACCAGACACTACCAACCCTACACATGTCCTATCGCCTAGCTATGCTCACCTCCATCATAAGTTGTTTGCCAGAGCATCCATTGGTACTGTTTCTATAGAGGCTTTTTTTTTCCCCTCTCAAAAAGTAGTCAGTGTTCAATCTGAATGAAGGGGGAAAAAAAAGATTGAAAAAAAAAAAAATCCTATACAGGATCCTAGAGTTTTCAGTAGAATTAAATGGCCTTTTGCCCTACACACCTTCTCAGTTTATCTATCATTCCTCCACCTGGACTTACCCCTTTATTAAGTGACCAACTGCCTTGTCACTTCTCAGTTAGAAGCAGAGAACAGGGGAGCCTGTTCAGAAATTACATGGCCAACGTGACTTTAAGCATAGGCAAGTCCTTCCTTGAATAATCCCTAGATTATAAAATAAACTTCATGAGAAGCTTTGAAGTTAGAATTTGCCCATCAACAGGAGTGGACTTTTCCTTTTATTCCAAACCTTAATGAAAAGCTGATTAAGATCTAAAGCTGCTATCTTTCTGGATGCATACCCAGGACCCAGTTTTATCCTCAAGGATTTTATGCTCCGAGCAGCAGAAGGTGGCCCTAAGCCCTGTGTTCAGGTATCAGCGGGCTGCATTTAGTCCTGCCTGAATCAGGACCACATTGGTCCTGGATCACTAGCAGGTCATTCAAGACCATCTCTTTCTTCTTCTCTTTTTTCTGATACCGTTTTTACAAATACTTTCCAACTTTTTAGGGCCTTTTAATCACATCAAGTCAAGCCTCCTGGGATCCACATCGGATTCAAACCTCAACAAATACAGCACCATTAACAAGATTCCACAACTCACTCTGAACTTTTCAGATGTCAAAACAGAAAAAAAGAATACATCTCCTCCTTCTTCAGATAAAACCATTATTGCACCCAAGGTTAAAGATCGAACACATAATGTGACGGAGAAAGTTACCCAGGTAGGACATGGTTTTACTTTCAATTTCAACTGTTTTTGGTGTTCTTTTTTTAGACCACAAAACACATTTTTATTTCCTAAGGCAGTAATAAATGATTATCAGTAGAGACAATCCTTTTATTTTCACTCCTATTTATCTTGAGATGTTGAATGACCCCTAGTGTAACTGATAAATGAAGCTATATACTGGGATTTTATCTATTACAAGACTAAGCAAAAATGGGGTAACTTGGTATTATTGTTACTGTGTTGTAGAGGTGGTTAACTGGCTATTCATCATGTTTGGACATTTATTGCTTTGCTGCCAACTGTCACATTATTAAAGCGTGCTTCTTTTTAATCTTATTGATGTATCTATTGAAGCTTTAGGTGACTCACTGGGTTATCCTCTTAGCTGTGGCCTCCTTTTTTGCACTTACCTCTCCTAGGTAGAGCCAGATCTAAGTCAGCTAACTTGGGGAAAAGATTGTCTAAGATGATGAAAAAGCTGGATGAAACAATGTATTCTACGGGAACAACATTTTATTGTTTTTAAATAAATATTGCAACTTGCACTAGGGTAAAAAGGTACTGTCGAACAGAAGTTCTACTTTAAAGAATAGATAAAAATGGTTTGTACTTATTACATCGAAATACCAACCCAAGCAGTAGCCAGCTTTTGCTTACAATGCACTTACTGTTGGGAATGCATGACCTTAAAAATTGTGTCAAGTAAACAGTCCTTGTACGAACAATTTACTAAGTATATTTGCTGAGCAAAACTTTTATTTATTTATTTTTTTAGTTTCTCATACAAAACTTTATACACACACTGCTATGTGACCTTAAGTGCAACTAGGGCCCATACTGTGACAGCACACTCTTCCTTTCCAACCCAGATTTCCCGTGTCCATTCAACCAGCTCCTGTCCCTTTCTGCCTTCTCATCTTGCCTCCTGACAGGAGCTGCCCATTTAGACTCTTGTATCTACTTGAGCTAAGAAGCACACTCTTCGCAATATCATTTTATGTCTTATAGTCCCATCTAATCTTTGTCTGAAGAGTTGGCTTCAGGAATGGTTTTAGTTTTGGGCTAACAGAGATTCCGGGGGCCATGTCTTCCAGGGTACCTCCAGTCTCAGTCAGACCATTAAGTCTGGTCTTTTTACGAGAATCTGAGTTCTGCAACTCACTTTTCTCCTGCTGCGTCAGGTACTTTCTGTTGTGTTCCCTGTTAGGGTGTCATTGGTGGTACCATCTAGTTCTTCTGGTCTCAGACTGATGCAGTCTGTGGTTTATGTAGCCCTTTTGTCTCCTGGGCTAATATTTTGCTTGTGTCTTTGGAGTTCTTCATTCTCCTTTTGCTTAGCAAAACTTTTCATAAAGCATCCACAATGTGAAGGTAAACTTGACCTCAATCTCTATTCAAAATATTGAAGATTTTGAATTAGTAAGTTTTTCTGTAATTGTAATCAGTTCAAACAACACTATAGTACCATTTATAAATAACCTTTTATGTGTGATCTGAAACAGCTATTTAAAGGCCATGAATCAGTTGTAAACAGACCTGAGAAGCCTATGTTTATTTAAGATAAAACAATATACATGCCATACAGAGATCATCCCTAGTGTATATTTTAACATTTAGGGTAGCCAAGGTGCTTTCTTCTCTTAGCATTTCACTTTTCTTAACTTATCCTTAGTAAATAAGTCTAACTAGTGGTAAATGAATAAGCTACTGTCGTTCATGTTGTTTTGACAGCTTTGAATTCTACTTGCAATTGTTTCTACCTAGAAACTTCTATTATTTATAGATAGTAGCCGTCATGTGGTTGTATAGAAAGAAAAGATTTCATATGTTGCACAAAAAACAGGTTGCAAAGATTAGAGACAGGGTCCAGCAAGTAGTGTGAGTAAAGTGGGTATGGTAGCACATCAAGGAGTAGTGGGGACTGTGATAAAATATAGAGTGCAGGCCCCCTCTAACGCAGATGACTTCCATTCAGCTACAATCAATTTTGGCTAGGCAGGAATGCTTGACCAATGTTTCCAAATCTTTCAATTACAAAAAAGAATCTGGAGATCCAGAATTTAAGATACTCTTGATTTCTAAAAGTTGGCAAACTAACTCGAAGAATGTCTTTGAACTCTGCTTAGGCCAAGCAAAACACACCTTCCCACCTGTGGGCAGCCAAGTGTGATCTCTGCAGTTTTCATGAGGTTGGTCCACCACAGGCGCCACCCTGTTCTGCCACGTTCAACAAGTCCACTGTGCCAAAGAAGGGTGATGCACACATGGATCAGAAGTAGTATATGCTCTGGGGGTTCTCTGAGCGTAGCAGGAAAGGAAACGTGTACAAATAGGCATAACACAATATACGTTAATAAAGAATACAGGAACACAGCTTAGGAAGAAAGTAATTATGCTTTGTGGGGAGAAATTTCAGAGGAAAAAAGAGAAAGAATGAAACATTTAAGCTGGGTCTAGGAAGTTATTTATCAAACTGGATTTTAGGTGATATTCAAGGAGTTCTGGTGGCACAAATGATTAAGCACACGGCTGCTAACCAAGAGGTTGGTGGTTCAAATCCACCCAGCTGCTCTGAGGGAGAAAGATCTGATCGTCGGCTTCTGTAAAGATTACAGCCAAGAAAACCTTTTGGGGCAGTTCTGCTCTCCCACATGGGATCGCCATGAGTCAGAATTGACTCGATAACACCCAACAGCAACAGATGATATTTAACAGCATAACTCGGAGTCACACGGACTGTGTTTTAATTTGGCTAAGTCATTTACTATGTGTCATGGAGACAAATGGTATTTATTGTGTAACATTGAGGCAAGTTTTAGGGATGAAAAACTTCTTTCTCAGAGTTTATATAAGAAGTGTACATATTATGGAAAGTGCTCATCACAGTGCTGAGTACATAACAGTGCCAGCCATTGCTGTTAGTTTGTTAATATTCTTGTATGACTCCCTCCTGCTCTCCCCTCCATTTCTTGAGGATTTGTTTATCCCTGCATCCCCAGGGCATAGTAGAACACCTGGCAGAGAGTTAAGTTCATCAACTGTTTGCTAAATGAATGAATGAGAAGTTGCCCAAGTAGACACAGAAAGGGGTGGGAAGTCTAAGTAGAGTAAACAGCATGAACGAAGTTATGTAGGCGCAAAAACCCACGTGTCTTCTGAGAGCAAGTGGTTTCTTGGACCAGCGAGAGGTACAACTGAAAAGGAGCTTTTTATAGTGGAGAGCTCCTGGAATTTTCCCCTCTAGGTGGTGCTTCCCTACCTTTTTCACATAGGTGCCTTGGAATTTGAGTAAAATGCAACAGCTGCCATAAGGAAAGCATCATTCTTTCAAAGTCTCATGCTTTGTCTTTAAAATCCCTATGATTCAGTCCCCTAATATACAATATTGTTTTAATATTTTAAAAATGTTTGAAACTACTTACCACTGAGTAAAACTGAGACCCACAAAAAGGCCCCATGGTTTTCCTATACCTTCTCACCACCACCCCCAAATTGAGTAGTCCCCCCACTCCTCCAGAGTGTCCCGGTTAGAAAGGAATGATGCAGGCGAAAGACTTTTTTAAGGTGGTGGAAGATTAGAATTGGGCACATGTTTCATTAAAGATCATTGTGTTTACAGCGTGATTGGAGTTGTTTCTGGAGGCAGGTAAACACTTTAGGGCTTATATTCTGGGCCAGAAATGATGAGGGACTGGATAAAGCCTGAGACTGGAAAGAAGAGAGTCAGCAGGAAAGCTCTGTCTTCTTTTTAGTGCCTCCTTTAGCTCTCAGTAGCAGAACTACAAGTGTCCAAGGTGGAAATCAAATACTGAGAAATTCCGCCTCCAGACACATCCTTTGGAACTTTCTTTTAAGCACTTGATAACAGGACTATCTTGTATCTCTTTTCTCATTTAGTGTTTGTGAAGTTTCCTAATTTTAGCTATCTCTGGAATTCCCATATTCAAAACATGCAGCTTGTCCTCTAGTCATGAAAAATAACTTGGTAATAACCTAAAATGTTTACATGTCTTCATTATAGTCTTTCTGTTAGGCCTGATTCTCCTTCTCAGGGAATTCTGAATGTATTTGCTGTAGGCAGCCAGCAGTGTTTTCTTAATCTAATGTTCTTATTTATTTTACTCCCTTAATAGATTTCTATGGTAATGTTGTCTTCAAAAGAAGTCAAGGTTTTGTTCATAGATCATTCAACAGTAAATTTTAAACACTCCTCAGAGCACAAGCAATAAAGCAGACATCAGGAGAAGAAGTCATAAAAGAAAACAGTCTCTGCCCATGTCCTCCCTCATCGTTTTGATCTTACCTCTATTTCACATTGGATTTGAATTAGCCAGTTACTCATTTGTCTCCCTAGCCAGAGTGAGCTTTTTCAGAGTAGGGACTATGTTGTTATTCATTCATTCATTCACTCATATATTTGTTTATTCATTCAACAAACATTTATTGAAAGTTACTATGTACTGTGCTACCTACCTTCCTTCCCATTGCCATCAAATCAGTTCCGACTCATGGCAACCCCATATGTTTCAAAGTAGGACTGCACTTCATAAGGTTTTCAATGGCTGTAATCTCATGGAAGTAGATCACCAGGCCTTTCTTCTGTGATGCTGCTGGGTGGATTCAAACCACCAACTTTTCAGTTAGTAGCCAAGAGCGAATGTACTGTGCTAGGTTCTGTGAATTCAGAATTAAAAGGCAAACTGTCCTCCCTCAAGAAGTAAGGAAGACAGACAAGTACAATACATAGACTTTTCAATGAAGTGTGGAGTATTACACTATTATACTACAGGGAAACACAGAGTTCAGAGGGTGCCATGGTCAAAAACCTTTCCCACATTGGGAGCTTGGGGTGGTGGTTATGAAGCTCGAGAAGTTTCCCAGATGGGGAATAAAAATCTGGAATGGGGCACACTTGGGGAACTGTAATACCAAAGAATAACTGAAGCATGAAGTGTTTGTATCACTAGTGCCCAGCACAATACATGGCACATA